TTTTAATTTTAATTATGTACTTTTAAAAACATTAAAAGTTTATAAAAAAATATGGTAACGACTTGAGTCATAACTTAAAACCAAAATTTTCACAATTTTCTTAAATTTTGGTTTTATAACTTCAACGATGTTCTTCCATTGAAAATTATTTATGTTTTATATACTTACACCAAAATTTTTTCACCTCATAAAATACAATGTACACATAATATGATCGTATCACCTTTTACTTGTTACCATTTTTATTTGAGCTAAAGATTAAATTTATTACATCTTGTACTCACCCATCAATGAATTATTCGAATTTTTATCCGATTTTAAGCACAAAACTTTCTGAATATTTTCAAAAGTAAATTGAGATTTTTAAGGTGAAAAAATTAAGGTGTTGAAATAAAAATTTTCTTTCATCAAAATTATTTTTGCTTTCCAAATTTATGCAACTACTTAAAAAATAAAATATTAAAATTCGGGAATTTCTTTTTTAATTTATTTATTTTTTTTTTTTTTGCAAAAAACTTTTAACTACATCCAATCAACTTTCTTACCGTGTTTTTGAAAATTTACATAGTTCCACAATTTTATTTTGAATAGAGTAAATTTATACTCTATATTCAAAATGTAAAAAAAAATTTAAGAGATTTTTCATAAACACAATACTACTGCATAACAATAACGATGAATAATATGTACTGCAAAAATATAATGTGTGATATGTGTTATGTTCTATAAAATTAAAACGTTAAATTTGCTATATTGCAAAAAATTTACAATATTTGTAACAAATTTGATTAACATTTTGTTTATGAACACAAATATAGCGTAGTTTTTTGCTATATACCGCAGTATATTGCATTTATGAAGAAAACCTTTTGTTCCAAAAAAGACTTTACATAATATTTTTGCTATATAGCCGAGTTATCAGAAATTTAACCGTAACAGCGCAGAAATTTTTGTTACTTTTGTTTGGAATTCTTTTAAGTTGCCGAATTTAAGGCAGTTTTAAGTTGCCGCTTGAATTTAAGAGGAGCTGCAAATTATAATTCTTGAATTTTCAAAAACACCTTTTTTTATTTTCAAAACTTGGGGTAAGAAAGATAATTTTGAAAATTAAAAAATATGAATACTTAAAAAAAAAAAAGAAATTTTTTATAATAATAAAAATTTTGTTTTTTTTTTTTTTTGTTTTTTTTTTTCACTTGTCTTAGAATTTATTAACTTTTATTTAATTATAATAGTTAGTCCTTAAAACATAAATTACAATACTAACGGATACACAAGAGACTTTAAACGTTGGTTTATTTTTTGTTTTCTTTTTTTTTTTACTATTTTTTACTTTAATAATGAAATTTTCCGTTCTTGAATTTTTTATCAAATTTATACAAAAAAAAAAAATATCGAAATAATTAAAAATAATAAGAGGAGATATGATTGTTTTCAATTTTTTTCTTTTTTAGTTTTTACCATTTTAAATTTTTTTAATATTTTTAATTATTTTTTTTTATAAAAGGAATGCTAATTATTGGTTGAGACTAATGATTTATTCTTTTTATATTTAATTTTTATATTTAATTTATTTGTCTATTTTAATTTGTTGTTTAAAAAAACGTTTTGCATTTTTCGATTAATTTTTTAAGAATTAAGGTGTAGTATTGCTAAAAAAAATTATTTTCAAAACTGTTATACTTGTTTTTTTTTTTTCTTTTATATTGTTTTTCCTTGAATATTGCTAATAACCTTTCCATAATAATTCAAATTTTTTAATTAAATATTTAATTAGGTGTTTTATTTTACTTATTGTTTTTTTAATATATTCAAAATTATTGTAGGGTATGCACAATTTGTAAATAAGAAAAAAAAAAAATTGTTGAAAAAAATTTCAACGACGGGCAAAGTTTGTTGTTTTCTTTCATCGTTATTTTTTTTTTTTTTATTTAATTTTAAATGAAATGAATTTTATGATTATTTATATTTATATAAAGAATACGTAAATGGTATTAATTGAAAATGCTGTATGTATATATTATGATTCACATTTAAAAACAAAAACATTCTGACAGACATTTAGTGTCAGAAGAATATTAAATATTTGCTTGCAATTACCCATTTTGTCATGAATTTCAATTTGTCATTAATGACGCAAGGATTTATAAAGTCCTGTTTCCAAATACATACATACTTTTTTAACATTCTTAAATGCAACACTTTTCAACAATTTCATTTTAATTATGCATAAAATTATTACTGTATATTTAAAAAATATTTGGCATTTCTTTATTTTTTTTTTAATTATTTTTTGAACAAATTAATCGAAATCAAAACGTATTTTTGAATATTATTTTTAAATTGAGGAAAAAATAGACTAAAATTTAAAAAAAAAAAAAACTTAAAACATGCAAAATTCTCTATTCGTCTAATTTTGTTATTAAATATTTTTTTTTTTTGAAATTGCTACTACTAAAGAATAAAATCAGATCCATTTTTTTTCCTAAGAAATTATTTTGCAAAAATTTACACAAATTTTTAATTAATTTTATTTTCCTTTATAATAATCTTCTTCTTCTTCTCCTCGTTAAATTTCAATCAATAGAGGTCAATTTTTTTTTTTTTCATCTTATTCTCTCAAAATAAATTAAAATTTTCATTTAAATTTAAATCTTGTTTTATATAAAAAAAAAAAAATTATTTAAATAATTTTTAAATATGGAATTACAAATGAAGACTGAATGTATCAAGAAAACAAATAAAAAATAAGAAAAAAAAATGATGTAATTTTTTATGAAAATCTTAAAATTTGGTTATTAATGATTTTGTTTTTTAGTAATTTAATTTTTTTTTTTTAATAATTATTTTTTGGATATTTTTAAAATCAATTAATTTAAAAAATCTTTTGAAACCATTCTTTTACAAGTTTTATAATACAATTTTTAATTTTTCCTTCTTTTTTTTTGTTTTTTATTCAGAATTTTTGAAATTTTACATTATTATTTTTTTTCCTGAATTATTTAATACAAATTTTTAAATTATAATTTTGCAATCATAAATATGTCGAATGTATTCGACGAAAAATTTTATTTATTTTTAGCAAATAATTAATATGCGTGAGTCGTCACTGACGAATGAAATATACAAAAAAACAAAAAATTCTTGTATTTTCCAAAAACAACCCTTTGATTGGAGAGGAAAAGATAGAAAAAGTCTAAATTCATCTCTGAAATAAATATTTAATTTTAATTTATTATTAATTTTTTTCAATCACATCATTTTTTTAATTTTCATCTTATATCTTTTATTTATTTTTGTTTTGGATTGTAGTGTAATCAAAATTATTTCAATGTCATTTTGTCAGTGATGGTTTTTATCTTTCATTTTTTTTTTTTTTAAATTTAATTCTAAAATGCTAAATTGAACTATAAGAAAAAATAGTGTTACAACATACATACAGAATTTGTGTTCTTATTTAATAAATAGTGCATTTTCACATTTCAAATTTATTACAAAAAAAAATTAGCAGCACCCACCATTTTACATTAAAAAAAAAAAAGCACCACCACTGTTCTCTTTTGCTTTATTTGGATGCATTTTTCCCTCCTCTCATTAAATTTTAATTTAAAAAAAAAAAAAATTAAACAATATCTAAGTACAAAATATGTATAATTTTTTATCAAATCACAAAATAAAAATTATTCTTCGATTATATAAAAAAAAAAAAATACTACAACTCTTAAATATTTTGATAAAATTCATAAGTAATTCCAAATTTATATTAAATTTTATATTTAAAAAAAAAAAAACTAAATTAAAATTAAATTTTTTTTCCTTATTTTTTGTTGTTATTGAGGACATTTGCCAAAATTCAAAACTAATGTCAATTTGCATTATTCAGGAATATTTTTTCCAATTACTCTGAATAAGTCAAATTGACATTAAATCTGAATTTTGGTAGATGGCCTTGTTGTTGTTTGTTTGTTTGTTTGTTTGTTTTTGCGAAAATTTTTCAAATTTCTTTCTTTTTTTTTGATTAAGACTTTGTTATCATTTTTTGTATTTTTCGTATTTTTGTGTTTTTTTTTGTTTTGTTTTGTTTTTTCTCTAAGGACGATAGGATAAGGAATAGTTTCTTTTTTTTTAATCTATCATTTTTTTTTATAATTTGAGAATTTTTTTTTTCTTTTTTTAATTTAATATATTTTTTTTTTTGATTTTCTTGTATTTTTTTTTTTTTTTTTGTTTTATAGACACATTTAATTAATAAAATTTACTTAAAAAATCTTATTTTTTTTTATGTATACATAAGTGTATGTGTGTGTTTTCATTTTAATTAATTTACATACATTTTGTCAGTGGGTGTCTTCCAAAATGCAGATCAGATCTACTGTCAAATTTAACTTAGTTAGCAATTGAAATTTTACTGCCGAATTAATCGAAAAATTGACATTAGATCTGAACATTTTAGAATATGTGCCCAGTTTTTATTTGAAGCTAAAAAAAGAACAAAAAAAAAAAATATACAAAATTAAAAAAAAAAAATGAAATCGAAGAAAAAATATCTTCGTTTTTTTATTTTTTTTTTAGTCCTCTTTTGTCAAAATTATTGAAATTTTTAACCTTTTTTGCAATTATTATTTTACTCTTTTTCTTATTATTCTCTTTTTTTTCTTTATTATAGTTTAAAGTTTCTTTGATTTTTTTTTTGTTTTTTATTTTTAATTATTTATATATATATTTTTCTTTAAATTTTTTGTTTTTTTTTTTGTAAATTAATTTTTTTTTTATTTTTTCATTTTAAATTTAAATTTGTGGGTTTTTTTCTTTTCTATTTTTTCTCTTTTTTTTTTTTGTTTGTTTTTGTTTTTGAGATATACATTTATTATTTACTTTTTATATTATATAGTAGGTTTTTTTTATTTTTTTAAATTTTAATTATAATTAAAAAAAAAAAATATTTTTTATTTGTATTTAATTTGTAAAAAAGCAAAAGCCTTTTTTGTTGTTTTCTTATATTTTTTTTTTGTTTTTTTTTTTTAATTATTTATGCTTCAGCAGCTGCTACTTCTGCTTCAGCGCCATTCACTTCTTTCTCTGTTGTAGCTGTTGAATCTTCTTTTTCTGATGAAGATAATTTGGCTTTCTTTTCGGGTGTTGCAGATTCATCAGCTTTAGCTTCTTCCACTTTTCTTTTTACTGCTTCTGGAGCATCTATGTATTAATAAGTAAATGAAAAAAAAATAAAATAAATATACATATAATATTAAAAAAAGTAGTACGTACACTTATAATAGTTTATTAAAAGTCTATTTTTTGGTCAATTGATATTGAAAAACATGACAATGTAATATGTAAGTAAAATATAATATGAAAATAAATATATTAAATAAACGAGAATAGAGTTGACCGTGTCAACTCTGTGATACCCAATACTGTGTGTGACAAACTACTATTGAAGTTGTATGGCAGATACCAGAAAGAGCCAAGCAATTTTAACGAATTTTATCAAACACATCGGCCATACTAATATATTCGCTTGCGTGAAATTTCAATACTATAGCTTTTATAGTTTCTAAGATATAGCCAAATAACTTTTGAAGTTATATGGCAGGTACCAGAAGGAGCCAAGTAATTTCAACGACTTTTTTTATTTCATTTTTAGATTTCGTTCATAAAAAAAAAAATAATAATTTTCGTAACACAAGATAACACCATATTTTATATTGATATTAAAAAAGAAATTTTCACCAACTAACACCTAAAATGTACGAAATAGATTTGTAAAACAAGCCTCTGTTTTAAATTACTAGAAAATTGATAAAGAAGAATCAAACTAGAAATGAGAAATATTAAATTCTAATTGAATTTTCCAAAAATAAATTGAACGATAGAATAATTATTTGATGATAAAATTATGAAGATAAAATTATTGAAATCTTACAATTTCTTGCCACCAAATATAATTACCAAAATAGCAATCAATTCAGATTTCACTTTTTAATAAAATTTTAACTATCCATAAAAACATAGAAATATATTAAAGAAATTAAACCAACCTGTGGAATCACCATTTGTTTCCTCTTCCTCTTCTTTATCTTCATTTGATTGCTCTTCTTCTGCATCATCTTTTTCTTCGGCAGCATCACCATTTTCTTTTTCTTCAGCTGCACTACCATTTTCAGCGACTTCACTACTTTCAGCTGCTGCTTCTTTATCTTTTTTTAGAGATTCTGCTGTTTCTTCAACTTCCTTTTCAACTGGAGTTTCACTAAAATTATAAATAAAAAATTAAAATATTATACGAGTACATACATAAAAAAAAAAAAAGTCGACACGTTCCAAAAAAAAAATTTTCATTTATAATTTCATATTATTAAATATGCACATAAGACAAAAGGTCTAATTAACGGAAAACCATCAAGCAACAATACACACAAATCATATAGCGTGAAAATATAAAAAGTATACACAAAATATAAATATATTAAAACGATGCCATAAAATATTAAACTTTAGCATTTTTGAAAATTAAAAAGAAATTTTTGTTGTATCATATAATATATATGTATATATCTATTATATATATACAACAAAAGGCGACATACACATTTTATTACATGATTATTTTATGTAACATAAAATGCACATTTCAAGCTCTTATTACATTCAACCGGTAAACAATTATGTACATAAATAATTACATATATATTGTACATATAAAATTTTAACATTTTCCCAATATTCAAAGCTCAGCTTATTATTTTCAAGAGTAGTTTTATCTCCAACCCAAGAAATAAACCAATATTACATAAAATTACTTAAACATACATAATTCCTTTAAGAAATATTTGCATATGTACATACTATATAAATTTCTTACATGAGTTAGTATATATGTACATATATCTCTAGATATACGTACAGTTCAGACATATATGCATTGACGTTGTAAACAACTCCATTTAAAACAGCTTGCTTACAAAACAGAAACTTATCTTAACAAAAAAAAAAAAAAAATATTTCATTTTGTTTCCGACAGGTGATATAATATTAAATTGGAGCATAACGCATGCCACAACACAATACATTTTTCCTTGGCGCGAAAAACATCTTTCAAAATTCTGAAATTATTAAAATTCACGATAAAAAAAAAGATATACGGGAAGAGAGTGGTATAAAATTTCAACGACAGGGAAAAAAAATTCTATAAAATCTTTAATGTGCAATAAAAATAAAAAAAGACAAAATCTTTTGAAATTTCGAACTTTCTCAAAGCCAATTTTCATTGTGTATTTTTTGTGTACCCGGTATTATGTTGCTACCAAAAACATTGCATATATTTTTGACATAATGTTCGAATGTCATTTTTAAATCCATCAAAATTCATATAAATCGTACAACTATTTATCATTCACTCAGTTTTTCTTTGGTAAAGCTAGATTCATTGGTTCGTCGTTTTTGAGCTAAGCTATTTGTAGTCGAAATATTTTTTCTCTTGATGGTTCATTGGTTCGTCTGAAAAAAGCTGTTTTTTTTATTGTGATGCATTTATTACTTTTTTGACAAGAATTACATGTAATTGTAATAGTTCAGTATACGTAAATTGGAAGTTTTAAAAAACCATCGCACTAAAGTTGAAGTTGATTCAAAGAAGAGAGAAAAAAAAAAGCTGTACTAAAAATAAAGAGAATGTCGGAAATTCAAATTTTCATATGAAATAGCTTCAGCTTGTCGCGAAAGCTATGAACCAGTAATTCCAACTTAAAAGGTAGTTTTTTGCCTGTCACTCATTTTTTGTCTCATTCACTTTTTTATGATAGGACCTTATAATTTGCAATTACTGAATTTGTATCAACACTGTATTGTGTGTATAGTGGGGGCATTTAAATGAATTTGTTTTTCATAATCCATAATGCATTTTGGTGATTTCTAACAAAAATAAATAAATAATATGTCAAATGAAATGTGTACATATTTTCAAATGTCAATTACATATGTATATGTGACTTAACAAAGAATCTATTCCATGAACACCATTCAAATATTATGAAAATAATAAAAAGTTTAACATGCTTTTGCACCGACGCGAATTTCTTTTTGATCTTATTTCTTTTTTTTGTTTCGTTTCGTTTTTTTTTTTACTTTATTTATTCATCTAACATTGTGTGTATGTACATATATAAATGCTTACATATATATTATATATGTATGAATACATAATTATATATCAATGAGAGTTTTATCCGTTTTATTCACATACACACACATATGAAACTTAAGCTCAATATCAAAAACAGATATGTACAAACATTAATTTATATATACCTAGGTATGTATATTAATTTTAAGATGATATATTACTATTTCACTTAAAAAAAATGTTATATACATAGTATGTCTGCCTATATATAAATAAATTTTTATATAATGGAATTAATTTTTGGAAAATCTTAATTTGATATTTTGTTTTATTAAAATATTTTTTAATATGGAAGTAAACTGTTATATGCCTATTTCATATATATATACCATTTATATACTTTAGTATAATATATAACCAATAGAAGAAAAACAAGCTTTGGCGGTATTTATTTATTATTCTTTTTGTATATACACACATAAATATAGTACACATATATATATATATATATATATATATATATAACAATTTGTAAAATATTATATGCATAGCAAGCCCACCTTGTTATACATTTTAATTCAATTTATACTTAATTATATATGTTTATATATTTATATAAATGTGATATATAAAATATGTATATTATATATTTATATACATAGCGTGTATAGTAACAAAAAAAAATATTCAATACCTATATACCATATATATACATATATATATAACAGAAATATAACACTATTAATAAAAATGTAAAATAAAGCAATTTGTGTTTGAAGAATACGTATGTTTAATTGTTTGTATGTATGTATATATATTAATGAAAACATTTCTTGTTTCCTTTTTCTTCTTCTTTTCCTCATTTTTAGTTTATTAACCTTTTTTTCTCTTTTTTTTTTGCCATTAAAAGTTAAGCTTTTTTTTGATTAAATTCCGATGAGAAAATAAAATATGAATAAAATTTTTTCGTGGGAACTTGCATATACCTATATATATATATAATTATACATATATATATATACAAACTAACGTATAGATATATATACATATATATATAAATGTATATATATTTAAAAGAAAATTTTATTATATACTACATAATATGTATGGATATATGCTAATGGATGTATGTATATATACATATGCACACATATTCAGCTTGCTGAATAAAAAAAAATTGCGTGATACAATTGTTTTAAATTTATCTCTTTTATTTAAGCGCTCATAACCTCATTCAGAAATAAAACAGGGATGGGAATTTAGAAAAAAAAAAAAAATAATTGAATTTCAAAAACTTCTGTAATTTAACGCAAACTATTAAAACTAATTTTTTTTCCAGCAAACTAGGTAGACTCCCTCCATTTTTATATAAAACGCATGAAAAATACCGATCAATTATATAAAAGAAAAAAAAACCTTAAAAACTCACAACTAATAGCTTTTTCATCTTCTTTTTTCTTCATTTCAACAAAAAAAAAAAAATTCACGCGCACGTCAAACATAACCTTTTAAAAATAAGTTTTTTTCTTCGACTTTTTAAAAATTTCTTGAAAAATTACCGCCAATAGCAAGTTAAGCAAAGAAATGTATGTATGTATGGATGTATGAATGTATACAGTTGTATGTACATAGTATGTATATAAAATATCTTTCGGCTTCTATTCTATTGTCAAAAAAAAAATGTGTACCCAATTTTGTTGTATAAAAGAAATTTATTTCTTATACACACGCACACAACCAAACACAAAAACACACACCTTCGCACACAAAATAGTACAATGTGAAATATAACAAAAACCACATTTAATATACAAAACGAAAAAAAAAAAGAAAAAACACGTCAAACGCTTTTTTTTCTCTTCTTTTCTTTTGATATATTAACAACATAACTCTATATAACTCTATTTCATACTATCTCATCACTCATTTATATTTCTTTGTCTCTTTTTAGCAAGCGTCCTTTTTCAACTGAATTACAATACAAAAAAAGTTTTTAACCGTTTTATTCTTCGTTTTTTTTTTTTCTATTTATTTTTTTCTTCTTCTTTTTAAACGAAACTTCTATACAAACTTTTTATTTTTTCAAAATATCTTTTCTCGCATATCCCCCTTTCTTCATGACATTTTTTCATTTTATCTACCAAATTCTATAAAAACTTATAGAAAAACTTTTCATATTTTCCATTAAAACGAAAAAATCTATTTTATTGATTTAAAATAAATAAGAAAATAATTGAAAACAAAATTTATGTATCTGAAAATTTTGAATTTCAATATTAACAACGACGACCACAACGAGAAAAACGACGAAGACGACGACGACGACGCAAAAAACAAGCCGACGCCATATTGCCGCCAAGCGAAAATTTCAAAATTCAAAAATGTGTATAGAAGTCCGGTTTTTTTTTTTCTTTCACATATTATTCAAATTAACAAACACACAATCCTTTTTTATTTTAAAAATTAAATATACATACTTATTTAATATTTAAAAAAAAAAAAATTAACTTTTTTTTTTATACTTTAATAACTTTTCCTTTTTTTTTTTTACTCACTTATTTTGAACTTCGATATCAGCCATATTTTTTTTTTTTTATAAATTATTTATTTATTTACAGAAAAAAATTATTTTAATTTAGGAAATATATATATGTATATATATTAATTTATATATATATATTATTTTGTTATATTCCACTGGCAAAAAATTAAATTTTAAAAAAATTTTAAAAAGTGTGCAGATCAAAAGCAACTGAACGTGCAAACAACTTCGCTGACAAATACGCAATGAGAACGAGTTCGTAAAATTTGAGTTCAAATTTTTGAAAAAAAAAGCAAAAAAAAAAAACTTTTCCTATGAATTTTTAGTTGCTGACTACGCCAGATGAAAAAGGCAGAGAGCAGCGCCGCCATGCCATGAATTATTTAAATGAGTGAGAGAGCGTAAAAAAAAAAAATTCTCTAAATCAAGAGAGACAAAAGATTTGAAAAAAACAAAAAGAAATGAAAAATAATATTCTCTTGTCTTTTTTCATCTTATTAATTATCTGTCAAGTTTTCTGGTAAAATTAATTTCATTCAATATATGTACATATAGATGTGTTTGTGGGGGTATATAATATTCTCAACTATATCATGTTATATATAAATACGTATATATAATTTTCTTATATACATAATAGTGATATATATTATTATATGTTTGTAAATAGTTTATTACTGCTCTCTTCTTTCATCTCATTCTCTCATAAAATTTATTCATAAAATTTTCACAAAAAAAAAAACAAAAAAACAAAAACAAAACTTCATTGTAAAATTTGATGAGATTGTAAAATTTTATAGTTTTCGTTTCCTCGTAATTCCTACCTAACCTCTTTCTTTCCTACCTAAACCTTATTCATTTTTTAATTTTAAAATACATTGTAAAATACAGTTTACTCTTTAGATTTTCTTTACATCTAACAACTTAAAGTTTTTATTATATTTTTGTTTTTGTAAATTTAAGAATTGCCGCGCAAATATAACCTTATTAATTAGTGGAATATTGATCCAATTAATTTTTTTTATTTTCTGAAATATTTTAGTAAATATATTTCTACACTATTTATTTCATTTTAAGTTTAAAACAAAATAAGAGCAATTTTTCGCCGCAAATGTCAAAATTTATATAGAATAGAAATATATAATTGGGGCTGATCAGAATGATGCGAAATCACTGCCTAAAATTCAGTTTTACTGGTGGCGGTCTTTTTTACATCATCTGCTTTCATGCGTGTATCAGATTATATACCAAATATTGAACAGTTGATTTTATCGTTCCGGTGTTGTTTTTGGTGAACAACGAAAATTGATCGCCGTTGTCGCTCACTATTAATTCTGTTTTTAAATATTATTTAAATGGATAATTTAAGTGATATACAACATAACAAATAATCAAAAGTAATTGACCAAACTTAACTTAATATGTTTGTGTATTTTTGGACTGTACTATAAAAACAAACACATTCATACTAATTCAATTTCCAAACACAAAAAAAAATTATTCAATTAAAAATGCAATTCATATAATGACAACACTTCTAATATATTTCCTGAAATGCATATATTTCATATTTTATTTATGCATATATTTCAGCGATGGTAACACTTAAATCAAAAATGTTTTTATTTTATTCAGCTTTTAAATCAGCCATTTAGTTTTAGTAGGGAAATATATTTATATACATACATATTATAAAAATATGTTCATATTTAATAGCAAAGTATTGTAAAATAAACCCTAATAAATTAATGAGACAGATTGCCAAATGAGTGAATTATTAGTGGAAAAAAAATTCTAAATCTGGAATAATACCTGAACAGGATTGAAGTTCAAAGTGAAATATACTAAAATTTTCCATCTAAAATTTACATGAAAAAAATAAAATTATTATTAAATGCAAAATTTTTATTATAATATAACATTTATTTCATCACACAACTACAATATTTCCTGACATCCAATCAAACCAAATTGCCTTAAAAATATACAAACGATTCAGCTTGTACGTTTCAATTGCTGAATTATGTAGTATAACATTATTATTGTAAAATTGCATTCCCAAAAAAATAACAGAAACATGACAGCTACATGATCTTTTAAATTGTTATACAATGTGTATAACAGTTATATATAATAATAGAATAAAATAGTTATAATTATTATACTTAAAATATTGTTATGTACTATGACTTATCTAAATTATATTTAAATTTTTACCATCAGGAAAAAAAGCATTCTTTATGTGCAGAGAAACTTTCAATATGGTAACCCTATATGTAAAAATGTATGTGGAATTTTCCTTTGTTCAGAAAAATATACTTTACTAATCAAATGATTATACAAAAAAAAAAGCTTTTTCTAAGATAAACTAGTTGAATGAGGTTGAATTAAAGTAGTTCATTTTAACCGGTAAAAATTTCTAAATGTGTTAAAAAAGGCCAACCATAATGTAATTTTAAAAATTCCCCATTAAGGCGAATATATAAAATCGTTGTAAGAGAGAAAAAGATATACGAATAGTGTGACATGCGTTATATTTATCATACAAAAAAAAACTAATGTATGAATGTGTGTATTCTCAAAGAGAGAATACAAGAAAATAAATGACTCAAAAAAAAAAAAAAAACAATTTCGGAAGATAAATTGGAAAGCATGTTTTTCATTTCATTTATTTTAGAATGTAATTATAGTTGATTTTGACATACACATATACGCTTGTGTAAAATCTATGTAAGTTTTACAATAGCACGTAAGAAACAATTCGCATGGATGCACACAAACATTTGTTATTTACTTACATACATTTGGACATGTGTGTAAAAATGTATTTATGTAAAAGGTGAAGCAAAAGTATAGTGTAATTACCTTGTACTGTACATAAATACATAATTAAAATTACAATAAACAATAATATTTAGGACATGACATTCATAAATCGTAAATGAAGTAAAGAATGAAATCGTGAGGGATCGATGTTTCTAATAAATCGGGAACTTGTTAGTTATATAAAAATATTTTAGAAAATGGTGTGAATGTAATAAAAATGTGATCTAAGAAAAAATTATGTACTTTGAAATCGAAATAGATTTTTTAAAAATTTATTTTTGAGTTTAATGCATGTATGTACATATGTATGTATGTAATATAGAAAACCCGTATGAGAACGCTTGCCGCTTACAGTAATGTATGAACAAATTGTCAAACTCTAAATGAAAGTAACTTTTTTGAATTATTTTAACGAAATTGAATTAAACGCGTTCTTACTTGTAGGAAACTTCATCGAAAATAAATTGAATTAAGATTTAGAATTTTACAAAACTTTATAATTCTTTGAGTCTTTAATTTCTCAATTGAAAAGAAAGTTTATTTGCGCAATTAAACGCAAAAAATTGAATTCGTTCAAGTCTTTTACTTTTAGAATTTTCAGCAATTTGTCATAATTTCGTCGAAAAAATGTTTGTTTACATATGTAAGAAACAAATAAGCTGTTCTCTTTTTGAAAATGTTTAGAAATAAAAAAAAATTATTGATATTTGCTAGACTGTCGTACTTCTTGGGACTTTTTGTATGGTAAAAAACCAAACTACAAATCGTATTTTTGCAAAATAAAAAGTTCGCGCACTTTTTTTCTTTGCAAATGAGGGCATTAATTTTTGTACGTAATTATTTTGTCTGAATTTATATTTTTCTTAAAATACATACATATAGTATTTGTAGAAAATTTTCAACTAAGTTTTGTATTAATTTTTATTTTGAAGTTTTTTAACATTCAGCAGACTAACAAAAAAATAGCAAACAATATTAATATCCACTTTGACAGTGAGTATCTTTTGAGTCATGGTATACTAACATTGTATGAACTAGCATTTAAAGAAATTTTTTCAATAAAAACAGAAAATTCAAGGTTTATAAAAAAATTTTAATAGTTGAACAATTTGTAATTTCAATATTTTCTATTTTAGCAGTCTGAAATTTAAATTGACTAGTAGATAAAACAATATTATAATATTTTCAATTAAGAGTATGACTTTAAACAAGAATAAAAGAAGATAAATATGCCGGTTTACACGACAACTTTTGGTTGACATTCATACGTTTCATTCCCCTTGTCAATAAATTTTTTTTGCAAAAAAACACGGGTAATATACGTTTTACTTAAAGTATTTAGCTAAAAACTGCTAATTAAAGAATTGTAAAAATGTTTACATTTAATTTTTACATATATAATTTTTTTGCTTAGAAAACATTTCGAACTTCTGTTATAAATACTGTATGTAAAAAAATAGTTATAAAACCACGTTTCAATTAAATTTGAAAGATACGCTAATGAAATATTTTCGCTTTTTGACTTCAGTTTTACAAAAAGTAAAAAATTTTTAGTATATTGAAATTAAAAACAGCTAATATTATTAAAAATTTTGTTAAGAAAATGAGAGTATAAGCAATGGTGTGCATAGTTTGATTTCTGTTGTATAGAGACAATATAGTAGATAAATAAATAAATTATTAATAGACATTTGCACACTCTGCTGTTAAAAGCAGAAAATATTGTATAGATTTATTGTGTATATTGTATATATGTAGATAAATAAAATCTTTATTTTCTAGTAGTACATTAATATAATCATATATTTATACAAACAATTTTACAAATTTATTATCTACTACCTAAATGTGTGATGTATGTATAAATGTATGTATGTTTCCCCATAATATTCTGTTATTTTTTTGTACAGCCATATAATATTATCCAGAAACATATACATTCATCGATCAATACCAACATATTCATATATACATACACACATATATATATATACATAAAAATGAAATATGTATTAAGGTAAAAATATCCCATAAAAAAAGTGCTGATTAAAATTTACTATACAAAATAATGTGCTTTGAAAAAATAAAATGCTAAAATTTTGATCAAGAGAAAATGCGTAGGAAAGTTTCTAAACAGAAATAAGTATTTGACTAAAATTTCAAACCGTACTTGTATTATATGAATTTGTTGTCAAATTTTTTTGTGATAAATGACAATATAATGAGAATCAAATGTCAAAACAAAAATTTTTTATTTACACTAAAATATTACGGCTACCAAAGATATATTTGAACATTATTACTTCGTAATCGTATCTGAATTACAAAAATTTGAAGGTTAATTGAGGACAAGATGAATATTTTGTAGTATGAAGTACCATAATATTCCATTTTTATGTACAAATATGATTCCTGCAGCATTATTTTATAGACTAGTAATATAATATTTAGCAAGATGTTAGGCGTTATGCGTTATAATTTTTTTTTCTCTTTGGAATAATATTGTGTATATATACTTATATATTTATCAAATAGTCAAAATAATAGTTAATTTAAAAATCGAGAAGGCACGTATTATCGTTCTGAAATTCATTATGCATATCATAATTGTCAAATTTATATGTCAAGAAATGAAAATTTTTTTTACAATAAATTTCAAGAATAAAAAATTACTATAATTTTTTTTACAATTTTATGATCATACTTAAATGACACTTTATTATTTTGTACCTTAATTTGCTATAATACCGCGACTATTTTAATTGATGGCTATAATTTTAGTACCAGTGTAATATGTAAATAATTATCATGTGCAAAATTTTATATGTATTTCTAAATCATATTGCATACTGTAAGCAATAATAAATTACCATTGACGAGAGCGTATGCTATCAACATAACAAAAATGTCTATGGAAAATAACAGAAAATGTTTTGACAGTATTTCATATCATTTCAGTGATGTGTCCTCCAATATCAATTACCTAACCCCTTAACTGATTAAGCATAAATAAAGCCGTATTTGAATACATAACCTCAAAATTTAATTTTAATGAAAATAAATAAGTGTTCAAACTAAAAATGGTATAAAATGTCAAAAATAAAAATTTGATTATCAATGTGATGAAAGAGTAGAAAATTTTGCTTTAATTACGCTTGTTTACACTACTCGTTTTGCATCAATTTCATTCCACTTAAACACGAGTGTTTAGCATCGTTTCAAGTCATCTTAAAGAAGCTCGTATCTACAATTTTTAAATTTTGGCAAATAAATTTTGAAAATGATGCCTTTAATAAATATTTGTATAACAATATACAGAATTTGCTAAAATTTCCCAATGTACAAATTCATTTTTACTTCTCAATAAAAATTCAAAAAGAAAAACAACAAAATAAAAATTTTCCTTGAAAAATTTTATTTAAATAATTTCAAAAAATATGTATAAAAATTTCTTTGTTCCAAAATTTAAGAAAAAAATTTTTAATTTTTAAATTTTTACTTCTGTATTATTTCATACACCCATGCATGTATGTACATATGTATATTCGTTACGTGTACATATTTATAAATTATTATTTTGTACTTATATTTTGATATTTTTAACGCAATTACGTTATATTTTAAAATTAAAAGAGTGATCCAATCTAAAGGTGAATCATATTCCATGGTCTCTTTTTTTTTTTTTCCATTTTGCCATTTACATTTGTGTGTACGAGTAATTACAATAATGCAATAAAATAACTATACTAGAATATACGATGTAAACGAGTTGGAAACTAAATATTTTATTTTAGTATATAATTTTGTATGTATATACATTTGTATTTGTATATTTCTGCCTATTTAGTTTCTAGCGTGAAGATAAATTTAAAATGTAGAAGAAATGTGTGTATACATAGCCTATATATATATATTGAATGCATAATTAGAGCGTCCCAACAAATGTTATACATCCATACATACACTTAAGTAGTATATATTTATGCCTATATTTATATACTTTATATATATATATATGTAGTATCTAAACAATATTTGTGTAAGAAAATTGAATAGGAAAATGTGAAGGTAACATCTGCACATGGCATGGCCCATAGATTATTACAATTTTTTTTTTTCAACATTTTTATTTCATATTATTTTATATTCTCCTTAGTTGAATATCTGTAATATTGTATGTAAGTATATCATGTGCATGAACACATGTGTGTACACATGTATCTACATATGTACATACATATATATCGTACATTAACATTTTTGTTAACTTTACTTAAACGAAAAAAATAAAAGGTTACCAAAAATTTCACGTTGATCGTTTTTTCTCTCATATAAAAGTAACAAAATAGTTACATACATTCATGCATACAAATTCGTATATCCGTAAGCATATCAAAAATATACATTTTATATATTATTATTTACTGTACTTTTATTCAAACATTAGTACGTACCTGTATAATAGCATCTATAGGATATACACACACACACTATCCCATTATATTATGCATACACACAACGTACATATGGATTTCCATATCCATATATACTTTCCTTTTTATATACATATATATAAGTATATATATACATATGTACATTTAAATAAAATTGGGAAGTTCGAAAAAAAAAAAAAATATGAGTTAATTTTTATTTTTAATGGATTTCCTAAAATTATGTATGTAGGTCTTTTCATAAATTTTTCGTTCAATTCCGTTTGTTAGAGAAATTGAAATTAAATGTTCCAAAAATTCTGATATTAAGTATATAAAGTGACATATTCCTATTTATTAGAAGTAGTTCCGGCTTACTTTAGCTAGTGGAAGCATTTTAAGACCTTCTTGATATAAGACTTTGTCTTTGACAGAAAATAATTTAAATTACTCTCTTTTCTCATCAGATTTTCGGTCAACTAAAAAAAAAATTATGACAATCAATTAATTTTGATTGTTTGAAGCACCGATTAACTGAATTTTGCCATAGTTACAATTTTCGTAGCAAAATTATTAAAATTTGAACATGAAGTCTGAACGCCATCTGATTTTATCGGTCAAATATGTAAACAATAATTAGTCTATGATTTAATTATAGATTTTATTGTATATGTAAACAGTACCTTATACAGCTTTGCAAAATTATAATGTCAACATTTTCTAGGGAGCATGAGTTTCTAATGTTGTTATGTCATGAAAATATTTAAAAATAATTTAATAAATAAATTAAAGTAAATTTATTTTTTAAAGTAAAATTATTTAAAGTATATAAATTTATTTTTGCTGCCAATTTCTTGAATTGTTCAGCAATGTAATTTTTGTTGCTGAATACATTTAATTGACAATAATTTATTGTTGCTATTGTCAAAATTTTTGTAATGTCAAAATTTTTTATGCTCGTATGTAAGTGAGTTTTGTGGTGAGTTCTTTAATGTGACTCATTATAAAGGTGACTCATTATACAATATACTGAAATACTACGCATGTACATAATAATTAGATAGAAAACTATAGAGCAACCTTTGTAATTCATAAAAGTATACATAGAGTTAATTTCATTTCAACATGTTTTCTCATGTTTTCTAAACACAAGATACCAATTTTTTTTTGTTATATGCGTACATATGTGTGTATATAGAAATAAATGTGTGTGTACATTTTATATTTCTACTTTTTTTTTTTTTGGTTGAATATTTTGTTTTTGTTGCTTTTCTCAATTTTTTTTTTCTTTTACTCTTTGTTGCGCATTTCAATAAATCCGTTGGCAACAAAAATTCGTTATAAGTTAATTTTGCGTTTCACAAGATACAAGTTTTTAACAATTTTTTTTTTTTTTTTCGAAAAGATTTCGTCGTCGGTAGAAAATTTTGAATTTTTGGAAAATTTGTGATTTTGTATTCTACGAATTTTCATAAAATGTCATTTATTTTTGAAAAATTATTAATTTTTTTTAATTAAAAATTTTTATTAACTTGCGCATTTGTAATGTCATGAAAATCTTTAATTTGAGTACAAAATAAAATTAAAAACAAGAAAAAAACAATTACCGAATTATTTAAAATAAAAAATATTGAAAATAATAAATTTAAAATTTAATTTCAATAAATAATAATTATCAATACATACATACATACATATTGAATATTTAATAAATATACTTATAACTTTCATACACATGGACTTGTGCAAATATTTTCATATTTGTGCATGCGGTATTTAAGTCAATTTAACTAATATTAGAACTATATAGGGAAGTTGACACTAGAAGTACAAAACAGAACCAAAGCGGATAACAAAAACAGCAAATGATTTTCGTAATTAACAAAGAACGATAGCGGTACGGCAAATTCAACTGTTCAATATTTTGCATATAATGTCACATACACACATGGAAATATATGTCAATATAGATAGAGTTTTAGAATATTTTACCGGTTCGACGGTTGAATTCTCGGCTGCGGTAATTTTGCTTCATTCTGGCAGTCCAACTTGTTGAACTAGCGGTGCCCGTTTAGTGAGAACTAGTTGAATCGAAGTGCGCGTTTAGAAATCAATTATTCATTCAAATTTCGATCGATGCAAATTAAATCGCCCAATTTTACTTGATTTATAAACTTTGCCTAAAAATTTACCTGTTTTGTTAATTGAAAATTAAATTTCACACAAAAAACGTTCTAAACGAAAATTTGTCGAGAGAGTACGAAAAAAAATGGGAAAAAAATAAATGAAAATGTTTGTTACAAATAACTTTAATAGATTTTAGATTTTAGAAATTTTCGGAAATTTAATTATTTTTTATTTATTTTTCCTTTTTGTACATTTGATATCATTGTTGTTTGTTTCAATTTTGAAATCCTTATTTGCAAATTTAAAAAATTAATATTTAGTTTTTATAACATCTTTTGAATTCTTAAATTTTTCGGCAAAATTCTCAAATTGTTTCGAAAATTAGTAATTAACATCAGTATCTGTAAAATAATTTAATGTATGAAAACGTATCATTGATTTATTTACATTTACATTATATACTTACGGCTTCTAACAAAAAAATTTAACGGTGGAATTCCTGGAACCGGTTTAATCATATCATTATTATCGGAAACATTATTCTTAGATTTTTTTACAGTATCGTCTGAAATTTGAATTTTATTTAACTATGAATTTTTTTTTTTAAATAATATCTTGTGGTAATCTCTTTTTAATCGGACTGTAAATCCCGGACATCCAAAATGCAGTATTGTAGTATTGCATTGTATCTGTGATTCATATCGTGGAATAAAAAATTTATACAATCTAACAAGATTGAAATTGCTACGCAGTGAGAAAGCAAACAGTGTATAGCATGATAATATTTGTTAGAAAAATTCGTTCTTTTGACATTCATTCATTTGTTTTCAACTGCCGATATAGTAATCCAAAATGTTTAAACTAATTTACATATTTTTTACAATGCAGTTGTTTTACTACGGTATTGATACTTGAAGTAAAACTTTATTTACTGCACTTTGGATGTCATGGAATGTTTTAAAGTTAGAAAACGTATTAATAATATGTGTATATACTTACGGCTACTAGCAAAATAATGTAACGGCGGAATAGTTGAAACCGGTTTAATTGTACCATTATTAGCCGCAACAATATTCTTAGATTTTTTCACAGTATCGTCCGAAATTTGAGTTTTATTTTTTTTCTTAGGATTTTTTTTTTCTAAAATAATAATATTGTAGAACTTTTAATCTTCTATTAAATTATATATACTTACTATTTGTATTTTTTGACGGAACTCTGACACAAATATTTATATTAGTTTCAGTTAGTTGATATGGACATTCTTCTACTTCTATTTTAGTTGGTAATTTGAAAAATCCATCATTTGAATTTTTATTATAAAAGTGTTGTCGCATTCCGGAAAAAAAAAATTCCCAATATTTGATTAAGTTTAAAAATTTTTCAATAATATTTTACCGTTAATAGATTTTAAAGGAACACTAAAATTGTTAATATTATCAGTAGTAAAAGGGTAAGGATCGTCTTTTGGTTCTGCTTTGATTGGCAAATCTAAATATCCATCATCTATCGAATTTTTTATTAAAAGGTGTTGCCGCATCAAGAAAAAAATAAAAGATTTTCTGCATTTTTAATTCAATCTTTTATGGAAATTTTTTTACCTTCAACATATTTTTGTGAAAATGTTTCTGAGCAATTATTTGATGTACCGTCACTAAGTTCATCTTCTAATTCTTTTTTGATTGGCAAATTCAAATATTCATCACGTGTAGAACTTTCATTTAATGGTCTTGCCGCGTCTGCTATATATGTATTAAAAATATTGTCATAATTAGTTTCATTTAGTTGATAAGAGCTTTCTTCTATGCCTAATTTAAGCGGTAATTCGAATTGGCGATAATAAGACAAAGAATTCTTAATTAATGTTTTTACATCTAGAGAAATAATGAAATAAATAATTAATATTGTTCTTTTGAGTTTTAACAGTAACCTTATCCCGCAAATGAGCATGTAGTGAGTAAAATGTATAATCAAAGATTATGTTGAATTTTTAAAAAATAAATGATTGGGGCTTATATTCTGAGAGTTACGATAGCAATATTTATCGTTTCTAAAATTTAATTAAAGACAAGAATTATTTGTGTGAATTCATTTATGTTAATAACAAAATCAAATTTTTCTTACGACACATATCATTATTACTAGAATAACCCCTGTCTTATATCACTAGAATAATCATTGTCTTATATTCTTATAATTTATTACCGAGCACCATTATCAGTTTCAGAGCAATTATGAGAATAAAGTATTACAATTTGTCGTATCGAACAGAATTCATTTAATTGAAAAAATTTTACGACAAAATTTGTGCATAATTCGAAGTTTGATCGTAAATTCACGACAATGAGATATTTTGTGATAAAGATAACAATCTAATTCCGTTATGTCTATAATGCAAATATTAATTTGTACATCCCTTGTAGTATATTTTGAAATCAAATTATATGTACATATATTATGTACATATATGCATACATTTTTGATTGTGTACATGAAAAGGAACACGTAAATTTTATTTTATTACAAGAAGACATCAAAAATATAAAAGCATGCCAAAAAAATAAAACTTTAAGGTTTGAGTATTTTGACGGAAGAAAACTAAAAAAAATTATTTACATAGGCACAATAAATATGTAAGAAAACGCATTGTAAAACGTTCACACATAATATGTATAAACATTTATACAAAATTATGTACTTTAGAGCATAAAATATAAAAAATATATAAGAAATTCTCTTTGACCTTCATTCAACCTTTAACTTTGTATTCATTTATATCCTTTTTTTTAATATCCTTCTTCCTTTCCAAATAATATTTTTATTTTAGTTTTTTTCTTTTTTTGGGAGTTATTATGTACAAGCAGAATATATATAAATATATAAGTAAATATGTGAATATACATTTTTCATACTCTCTGTAATATTTTTGTTTCCTTATATGTATTAGATATTAGACATTTTATATAAATATATATGCGTATATATATTTGTGTATAATATACAAGCGTGTGTATTATTCGAGAAAAAAAATTGAGTTGAAAAATTGATAAAAAGGAAAGCCGGCATAATTATATGTATATTTCTTCGCCATATACCTATAATCACATACGCCATATACGTATAATGAAAATACTCATGTATGAGTGTATGTTACTTTTATTATTTACTTTATGTATGTGTTTGTTCTTTATGGCATCCACACAACAAAGCATTGTATTAAACAAGCATAATATATAGTAGATGAGAGGGATAATGTTAACAATTTAATATTACTGTACATATTATACATAACTACTACTAGACCAAGGACTATAAGAGAACAAAGAGAAAAATTACAAAAAAAATTTAACAATTTAGAAAAAAAATCCATGTTAGCGGGAAAGTAATTGCTCTCTTTTTCTAGAATGAATCGTTTTCTAACCCTAATTTTATAAAAATGTTTTCGTGATTACATTTTTCTTGCTAGTAATTCAGCTTTTAATTTTCTTAAATTATCATTCTCTAATATTAATAAATTAACAGACACTAAACCAAAAATCTTTCTGAATGCAAATCAATTCATACTTGCAGATGTAATATTTTATGAAGAGATGGAAGGGGACAATAAAATTTCTGTTTCACTGTAAAAGTACGAATAATTTGCAAATAAAATCTTGATGAATGTTTAAAATAAGCAACTCGATGTATATCTGGTATACATACAAATTTCATGTATTCAGCAATAAAAATTGTGTAAACGAAAAATTCACGTTAGAATTGAATTTATGTAAACACCTTGTATCTCTAAAGCTTTTTAAAGTCAAATGTCACAATATAAAACTGGAATTTTGTTTTTCAATAGAGCTAACCCATTATGTACCCATGTAATTTTTTTTCGTATTGTATTGTTTGAATCGCCTTGTTTCAATGTTATATACAAATGTTTGTAAACGCACATATATATATAATACTTACATTCTTTTCCTCTTTTTCCAAGTTTTCTTTTTGGAATCTAAAAATTTATTCATAATAATTATTGCTAGATTTTTGATAGATGAAAAAATAATAAATACCTACAGTACCCTTTTTTAAACGTCGCGTTCCATATCTTCCTGCTTCTAATATATCTGTTGGATCAAAATGTTCACAGCAAATAACATCGCTACGAGAAATTTCATGTTCTTGTTTCCCAATTGCTCTAAGCCATTTCAATCTCAATTCCTCAGGTTTTGGAATTCTTTTTTAGTAACGCATAAAAAAAATATATATATATATTTATAAGAATGTACTCCATTGTAAATATATTAACATAAAATATTAAGAGAAATTCACTTACACATGAAATGAAAAAGGTTCGTAATATTTACTTGATTGTCTGGTAGGGCATATAAGACATTTCACCATATTTTATAATAACATACAATATTTTGTATTCAACAATGTAAAAATGCTAAGAATAAAGAAACATTAAAACAATGTTGTAAACTAAGAATAAAGCATTTTTCCAATAAAAGTACATGTAATGTAACTACTACAAAACAGAAATTATTAGCGGTGGTGCATCTGCAAAAAAAAAAAAAAGAAATTTAGTTCCCCAAGATTTATTATTTTGGTGCTCATACATATTTTTTACAATGAAAATATGCAACAGCACCACTGGGCTTTATTTATTAAAAAAAATGGCGATAAGATTTTCTAATGTTTTGCCAAAAGTAACAATTTTTTTTTCTTTCTATTCACTAATTTCTATAATTCCTCTTAAAAATTAATTAAAAATTTGTTTTAATTTCAACTAACCTATAAAAAAATATTCCACTTTTTAAAAAAGAAAAATTATTCTCGCACAAATTTTGTAAACAAATATTTACTACATATGTTTTTTACGCATAGCGTATAATACTTCTCTTTATTCTTAAGTAAAAACAACTATACTTGAAGTATATGTTTTGACAGTTGTAAAGTATATAAATAGTGTTGCCGTTTCAATGCGATTAAAGCTATTTGGGTAGCCTCTTTTTTGCATTTTGTGTTCCCGCCTCTTGTCTTTGCATTTTGGTTCTGATTTTCCTCTAAATCCGAAATTTTCAAATTCTTATTTTCCAAACTAATAGAAAAATAAATAGCAATATTTAAAATATCTCAAATTTGTCGGCGTCAACATAAATAATCAAGAACACGTCGGCGTCAACAAATGTACATATGTATGTATATTAAACTTCTCTTAAAATAATTTGTAATAAAAGACAAGAATTGAAATTTGGTATTCTAATCAAAGCAAATTGAATTATAATATCCAATATAAATATATTCTATTTAAAAGAAATAAAAAAATAAGGGATAAAATCAAGCGTCCTCTGAATGGAACTGGTAACTTATTGACAACATATCCTTTTTTAATGCATTTAAGGAAAACAGTGAAATAATACTGTTCCAACATTTCCGTATTTGGATTATTTTAAGTTTGTATAAACATTTGAAATTTCTACCTACCTCAATTTCAATGAAAAGTCCATACATACATAAAAAATATATATACTCGAATAAGTATATATGTATATGCGTAACAGAATTACAATCGCATCTGTCAACTATGTGTACTTACAATGTAACTTCACCGTTTACATTCATGTAGGTACACAATATATGTATATTTCATTATTATAAAATTAGATGTATTTAATTTTAAGGGACACGTGTCCTTTAATTAGGGAATGAGAAAGGCAGATGTTAGTTAATGTGTACAGTCGATGGTATAATGTACATACATATTCAAATATACTTTAAGCATGTTCATAACCATTTAATTGTGTAAATTTTTTTTTAAATCACAACAGTAAAAGTGAATGTGTACGGGATAATTATAAAATAGGCACATATTTTTTACTTTTATTAGTGTGTACAATTTGACATTTTAAAAGTATCTGTTTGTTCATTTTTATATTTTTTAAAAAAAATTTGTTTTTTATTTTCGGTAACAGTTATTGTTGCAATTAAATTACCTTAATTTTTTTAAATATGTATATTCGGTATTGTTTAAGCATTCAGTTTTGTTGTTGTTGATCTTGAGGCCGTTTCTCGCAGCTTCCGCAATGTTTTAATAGGTGTGCTTAACTGGCTGCGGTGTAATTTTGTATTCTCATAGATGGCCTTAGTGATGTTATAGTGTAGCTTAACTTTTTCAAATGCTTGCTTCAAATTGACGGGGCTGCAATAGACAGGACTGTGTTCTACTTATTAGATTGTTCTATAATAATTTTGAATGTGTTACAGTGGTTCTTACAATTTGTGTTCTTACGGAATCCGGCCTATTCTTCTCCGAGTACTTTTTTATTTTTTGGATTGGATCTGTTTTAGTGCTTTTTCGATATTTTATTAATGAGAGTCAGCACCTTATTCCTTCATGCATTCTTGAAGATTGCGTTTCTTTTCTTGAAGAAAATCAATGTTTATACCTAACAGAATAATTATTTTATTTATTTTTGTAAATTTTGTATTATGGTATTTTTGTGCGGTTGAACATCATCTGTAAGTAATCCTTTAATTTCTGCAAGTTTATTATAATTTTTCTCTGCAGTAGAAAATTTTTCATATAAATTCAAATAAGGCACTGGCCACATATATGAACAAATACATAATATGTTATTTACTAATTAAAAACTTATAAAATCATATTTTTTAAAACTTTTATTTTAAAATAAAATTATATTAAACGGCAAATTAAGTTTTTCCAAGTTTACTTATTCATAAAATTAATTTTTTAATTTTTTTAATTTTTCATTTTCCTTTTGTAATTCTTCTATTTGTTGTTTTAATTGTTCATTCTTTTTTATAATCTTTTCAAAGGATTTATCATCTAATAAAATTAAGGATTTTGGAATTTTTGTGTTACTCTTGTTATCTGCACTTGTTATCTGGTTTAAAGCTCTAGAGTATTTATAATAATAAACGTACTTTCTCTTATATAAATCACGTTCTTTAATGTACATATGTAGTTTTCACAATTGTAACAAAAATTCGGGTAAATATGATCCCCTGATTGTTCACTTAAAATGTCTTCACCATCATGGCTCTTCGTTTCAGAATTTAGATTAGGATTTGAGATTTAATTTTCAGATATTTCATGGAACTCCGATTGTTCTTTAATTTCTATATCACATAGAATTTGGTTTTGATCAGAAATTTTATTAACCCCTACGGGTATAAGTATATATATAGAATATACAATTAGTTTTAGTTTGTACGTAAAACTTATTTTTAAACTGAATTTATTTCTTTTACCTGAAACATTTTTTACTGGAATAAATACAATGTTATAAGCAGGTTTTGATTCCTTAGTGCTCTCCAAACTGTTATCTAAAATAAATTGGAAATTATTTTTTTTTAATATTTATGGATTCGGGTATACAAAAAATGCCGAATTTTCGGCAAATAAATTCATACTATTATAAAAAATAGAAATATTATAAAAAAATTCCAATTATTCGCCTGTTTTATTTTTCGGAAGAACATTTAAAAAATTATGTGAATTGTCCGTTAATTGATAAGGTTCTTCTTCTATTTCCATTTTAATTTCTTCATTATAATACTTAACAGGTTCTAAAATGTCAGAAACAATCATTTCTGCATAATAATATTTTTATTTCATGATACATTTTAAAAATTGTCTGATTATCTTTTATAATACCTTCTTTTTTGTTTGTTTGCCTATTTTCCGTTCCTATATCTTTAACTAGGTCTACAATTTTAAGAGTTGTGCATATTGGCTGCTCCAAGTTTGATTCAATAGAAGTTTGAGATTTGTTGCTAGAATATGAGTCCGATATATTGTCGTTAGTTTCTCCAATATCAACCACATTTACATGGTGTTTCTTATTTGTATTGCCACTGTGGTGTCCCGTAACTGGTTTTCTTGTTATTTGGTTTTCCAAAGATTGTGTTTTTCTAATAAAACAAAAAATAAATACATACATACATATATTATTATAAAAGATAATTTTTTAACATTTTAATAATTTTTTAGAAATTCTACCTGATTAGCATTTTTGGTTCTTGCTTTTCTTCCGCTTTTCTTATATTTTTAATTTCGTATGGATGTAATCGGCCATGAAAAACTGAAGGTATTGTATTTTCTCTTAATTTGACTACACTTAATTCACAATTAACACTTCCATCTTTTATCTTTAGTTTCTGTATCACATATACTGGTCGAAAATGATGAATGCATACTGATGAGTGATCTGTGGGTAACCAGGAACGATCTCTTTTCAAAGCTTTCGACCATTTCATTCGTAAATCAGCATTTTCAGGAAAAAGGAAAGTTTTAATACTTGTTTCTTGATTATTAGCTTTAAAACAATTACTCTTGCAACCAAACACACAGCAACATCTCGGTGCTATATTCTTAATATTACCATAGAACAAATAAAAACATAAAAGTGATACTTTCATAAGTATAGGGTTTAGTGTAAAAATAAAAATTTTGTGTTAAAATTTTCGACAGACAAAAAAAAAATTTTGATTCCATTTTATATATGTAGCATATGTATGTGCTTACCCCAAATTGTTTTTTTGGAATTGCAGCCGATATTAAACTCCCATAAACAAAATCTTCTTTCCGAAAATGGTTATCACATACATAGTGCTTTTTTTGTGTTAGATTATTTTCATCGACTCCTAGTGATTCTAACCATGAGTAAGGCATAATGTGATAAATATTTGTTATCTCTTGAGTTATATCCACAGCTTTCAACAATACACTTTCGACCAAATCGTTTATAGTTGCTTGCCATTTTCATTTTGTTCGCCTCTGCAATCTTCAATCATTGTTCACATCTTTCAAAATGGCTTTCTCGTTTTATTTCTTATAAACTTATTTCGGGTTACAAATATTTAGTATGCAGGGAAAGCAAGCAAACTGAAAAGAAAAAGAAATTTGTGTTCAAAATTTCTCGATTCTCACTTCAAAACAGTGTAGAAAGGGAAAAGAGCTTGAAGATAGATAACAGAAGCTTCAACATTTTTATATATCAAACATAGAGCACTTAGTATACGCCTGGACATCTATATTTTCTTTTTTATGGGATAGTAGAACATATTTTATACTTTCATATAATACATACATATATATATATGTACGTAAGTATTTTTCATTCCTTCCTAAATATAAGATGTTGTAAAAATTATATACAAAACATTCTTATTAAATAAAAAATGTTATAGATTATTCATTTTTAGTTAAAATATGGCCATCTACCAAAATGCAGATTTGACATCAATTCGATTTATTCAGCGATAAAATTTCAATTGCTAAATAAGTCAAATTGACGTCAGATCTGCATTTTGGTAGTCACCCTATGTTTACCAAAAAGAGGTTGTACGACATTTAAATTTTTCATGTTAGAACGCTCCACATAACTTTAAAATTTATTATACAAATTAAATTAAGAAATTTCACAAATTTTGCAGTTCTAATGTTGAGAATTTCTCAAAAAATTCCGTTATGTACAGTTTTCTATTTCAGATAACGAAACTGACATTGGTAGCAAAATTGATTTTACCGGTTGAGCAAAAAATTGTAAACAAAAGAAAAATTAGAAATGTTAGTTTATTGAAAGACATTAATAAAATTCACTAACCCTTTCAAAAAACAAAAAATATGTCCATGCCTAATATTTTTTTCTGTCAAGATCTATACAAAAATTACGTTTATATTTACTATTACTAAATTTTAATATTTCGCATGTCAGAATTTTTTTTAGTTTTTTTTTATTGTATATATTTTTTAATCCTATAAGAAATATTGCGAATCTATTAAAATATTCACAATATCGCACAAATATACAATACAATATGTTACTACTAAAATATGTCAACTAAATTAATTTTTTTAAAGTAGAATGTCAAAATTTTTTATAATCTTTTTTTTATTATTTTTTTAATTTTTACCACTGATGGTATGTATGACTAACAATGAATAATACACACCTGGACGCTATTTTCTTTGTGAATGAGGTAGTAAAACGGTAAATGTGTTTGTAATCAAAATGACGTAGTTTCAGTTTAACGTTTTCGTATTAACGTTTACGTAGTTTCAGTTTACGTACTAAAATGTGTTATGTTTATGGCTATAGTTATAATTTAAAAGAAATTCTCATATGTTTTAGAAAATCAAGCACATTTCAGTTGTGAATTGGAAATAAGTAGATTAAAAATAAATAGTGATTTAAAAATTAGTTGGTTTTTATGAAATCCTGGTATAAATTTTAAAGCCATTAAATTTGAAAGTATTTTGTTAATATGGTGTGGAAAAGATGACAATTTTTCATTTGGAACAATTTTAAAACTTTTCAATATTAAAAAAGTTTTCGTTTTTTAGCTAAGATGTTTTATCTGGTCAAATTCAAGGGTTTCAAAGCAGAAATTTTAAAAGTTCACTTATTTTAAATAAAAGAGTAACGATTTTAAAAGCGAACACGCTTAAGTAGTCAGATCTGAATATTTTTTTATTATTTGTAAACGTTAACGTCAATTTTAGCTCAACCTTTATTAATTTCGGCGAAATGATAATGTTTTAATGACATTTCTATTTTATGTTTTGAACTCTGTATGACAATTTTGACATATTTTTGTTATGCATTATTTATTAATAAAAATAATGTGAGCTTAAACTTTGGAACCAATCAGATGGGAATGAACAATGTTTATTGCATCTTAAAAACAAAACAAAGAATTTAGATCAATAATCTTTCAAAATATTAATCTTAAACAAGTGAGTTTTTTTGGTTAAATTCAAAAACAAAACAAACTTATTTTAGAATTTTAGTATTAAAAATTTTTCATGATTATAAAATCAAATATAAAAGTCTAGGTTAAGTGGCTTTTTCGGCAAATTATATTCTCGAAAATAAGGATAGAATGTCTTAATTAAACTGTATTGTTCAAATTAAAGGAAATTGGAACAAAAAAAAAATCACCTTAGATATTTTGTAGTACAAAGGATTGAGTCTGAATATTTTCCTTTTAAATGGATTATTATATGCTTCCCTAATTCAAACAGATCTTAATCTAAAATAAAAAAAAGAATTTTTGTAAATTCTCAAATACACATGCATTTAAATGTGTTCAATTTAATTTTGCATTGTTTTAATTTTTAAATTTCATTTTTCTTTTTTAGAAATACCTTTGGAATAAAATAATATACAGAAGATTCACAAAAAAAAAAAAAAAAATGTCACTAACACAACGTGTTCAACAATGGGCAACTTTTTCAAGAACATGGCATATTATAGATTGTACTTGGCAAAATCCATTCCATATTGCAAAAATTATACAAAAATATCTTCGAGGATTACATAAACCAATATATCATCCAATGAATGATTGTGGTGATCATGTTGTTGCAATTAATACCAAAGAAATAGCTTTACCTGGTGATGAATGGATTAAACGTGTATATTTTCATCATACTGGTTTTCCAGGTGGTGCATCATGGACATTAGCATGGCAATTACATGAAAAAGATCCAACAATGATATTGAAAAAAGCTGTATATAATTCAATGAAAGGTAATTTACAGAGACGTCACACAATGCAAAGATTACATTTATATGCCTTTGATGATATTCCGGATAATATTAAAGAAAATATTTCAAATGAAATACGACAAGAACGTGTTGTACCAACTCGTTTAGATGAAATCGATCCAAAAATTGTTGAAAAATTTGGCAAGTTAATGGATTATCCAAAAGATTATGTAATAAAATAATCATTTTTTTTTTATACGAGTTTAAAATTAGTTTTTGTAATTTAGCAAGAGTTTTTTTTTTAATCTAAAAAGGAAAATATACAATATATATACTTAAATTACATTGTATCATTAGTAAAAATTATGAAAAGGATAATTGTTACGGATTGTATTGGAATAAGTAATGTTGATTTGGATACACAAGGATAAATATTTAATTTACGCCATACATTCAATTTTGTCATGTGGGTTTGTTGTATTAGCGTTCTGGTATTTTTTGAAAGTTTCACAAATATGTTTTTAGCTCAGCTCACCTGAGTTGTTTTCTCCGATTTTTAGGAAGTGTTTTTTGTTTACAAAATTTTTAATAATGTAATTGAAATAATAATAAGGCTATAGCACTCAGTATGTATTTTTGTAAATTTATTTATTTTTAATGATCATATTTTTAATACAAGTCTCAAAGTATTTTCTTCAAAGAACTTCTGTTACGAAAGCGAATTCGTTTAACAAATTCACATTATATACGAAAAAATATGCACGTACATATTTAATTATCTACTAATTTAATTCTAAATTTATAAATAATTTTTACAATTTACATTAATTTTAAGCTTTTTTAATGCTGATAAAAGATTGTAAAAGTGCTGTATCCGTATTAGGTTCTAAACGTGCTGGATTAATTGTATATAAAGTACTGGAGCTGAAATTTATATTATATTAAATAAAATAAAATTGAAATAAAGAGAAAAAAGAAGAACCCTACTTGGAACCACTCAACTGGCTGTAACTTCAGATAAAATAAATTCGAGTAAAACGGTTATAAGCCTTAAGAACCCTGTACAACGGTAAATAACGATTTTATAGTTTATTTGAAAAACAAACATCCAATTTTATATTTGAAATCCGAAGCGTCAGTACATTTTTGGAAGTTGTGTTTGTTAATTCTTTTAGAAAGCTCATCCATTGTAAGCTATGACATCATATAGTTTGAATCGATTTGTGGAAACAATCTTTTCTAAAAAAGCTCAACATAACCATATAATGTTGGTAGGTATTCCGATTTTTATTGAAAAATGCTGAACTACTAAAAAAAAGAGATAAGCAAGATTATAGTGGACATAATGGAGCCTTAAAAATATTAAAATAAATTTTTTAGTAAATTTCATTTTTTCAAAGTACAGCTAAAATAATGAACGAAAAAGCTAAATATAGATTTTGCAGTTTGGCAACACTATACCAGCTGATAGAATTTAATAGGAATTTGTCATAATTCACAATTGGGGTGTGTTGAGTGAAACCAATTAATTGATATTGTAAAAATTAATTAATAAACAAATGACGTTATCTTAATACGCTTTTTACAAAATTTATTTTTAAATTAAAAAAGAAGAAAGGGTTTTGATATTTTTAATTCATTTAAAAATAATATAAAAATAAAAGAAAATTTAACGAAATGCCACCTTTAAAAATGTTCACAACAAATCATGATTATAGTAATAAGAATAATAAATGTTTAGCTGTAACACAGAATACAACATCATCAGCAGAACGACATAATTCCAGTCCAATTCCATCTTATGCCAATTTGCAGTATTCATTAAAATTGCTATCAAATTTTAATTCATTGAGACAAGCAAATCGTTTTTGTGATATTATTTTAATTGGTTCCGTTGAAACGAAAAAATTTCCGGCTCATAGAGCTGTATTGAGTGCCGCAAGGTAAATATATACCAACACATCATATATATCTATACAAATATGTATATAGTATATTACATTTGTATTATGCACATATTAAATACTTAATCCAATTATTGGTCAATTAACCCATTGCATTTGTATTGCTTTATTTTTAGTGAATATTTTGAAGCCATGTTTCGTCCAGAATTGGGATTATGTGAAGGTAAACAAAAAGCTGTAGTTTTGCCTACAATCGATAGTGAAGTATTAAATAATTTATTGGATTTCATTTACACAGGAAAAGTTGATATTAATCAAGTAAATTTCTTTGTTTTTTTACATGTATATTTTTTACTTTATTAAATGTGTTTGTAGTCTAATGTACAAGAGTTACTTGCTGCAGCTGATATGTTACAATTGCATGAAGTGGTTGAAGGATGTTGTGAATTTTTATGCCGAGAATTACATTGTACAAATGCACTAGGAATATTACGTTTTGCCGAAACTCACAATTGCCATAATTTATTAAAAGCAGCCATGAATTTTATTTGCCTTAATTTTCCTGCAGTAAGATTTTTTTTTCATAATTTCTTTTATCATTTTTACTAGAAATTTTTTTTTGTTTTATTTAGATAACACAAGAAGATGAATTTTTGGATACACCACAAAATCTTCTATCACAACTTTTAACATCAGAAAATCTTCGAGTAGATAGTGAATCTCAAGTTTTTCAAGCTGCATTACGTTGGATTAAACATGATATAGTTCAAAGACGTTGTCATGTATTTGAAATGTTGGCATTAGTTCGTTTAGCATTAGTACCGATGCGTATAATTGATCAAGCCATTAAAGAATGTGGTGACAGTTCAATACAAATTGCTTTAAGATCAATATGTCGTGATATAGCATCACGTCGTGGTCAATTGGTTCCACTACGTGTTAATCCTAGAAAATCAGCCAAAAAATTTGTTTATATTATTGGTGGATCAAAACGTGAAACATCAAGTGGTTGGAATCCTTCCAGTTTTATATATGAAACTGTTGCTAAATATGATATATTTAGACGAGAATGGACTGAAACTGCAATGGAAATTGGTAGAATATTACCGGGTGTTGCAGCTTTAAATGGAAAAATTTATGTTGTTGGTGGTGAGAAAGGAAGTCAAATTTTAGCTAATGGAGAAGTTTATGATCCACAAAATGATACATGGCAAGCAATATCACCAATGATTGTTCCACGATGTGAATTTGGTTTATGTACAATGGGTGGACAATTATATGCAGTTGGTGGTTGGATTGGTGATGATATTGGTGGATCAATTGAAAGTTATGATCCAATTAAAGATACTTGGACAATGGTTGATTCTTTACCAGAACCAAGATTTAGTATGGGTGTGGTATGTTTTGAAGGATTAATTTATGTTGTTGGAGGATGTACAACTACTAGTAGACATTTACCTGATTTAATAAGGTAAATATATTAAAAATATTTGGGAATATACTATATATATATATATATATAATGTACTTAGATCATTATATATAATGTTAATTTAAATTTAGTTATAATCCTGTGACTAAAGAATGGAATAAACTTTCACCAATGCAAACAGCTCGATGTCAAATGGGTGTAGCTGTTCTAGATAGATATTTATATGTAAGAAAAAGAAATTTAATGAATTTTATATAATTTATAAATTGTTAATTTTTTTAGGTTGTTGGTGGTAATAGTAATCATCAGGATGTTTTATGTACTGTAGAACGTTACAGTTTCGATGATGATAAATGGACTATGGTTACACCAATGTCTGTTAGTCGTGCTATACCAGCTGTAGCAGCAGCTGATGGTCTTCTTTATGTTGTAGGTGGTGATCAGGTAAATTTTTTTTTTTTTTATTAAATTTTTTAAAATTGAATTTTTTCAAATTAACTTTGTTTAACATTTTCTTTGTAGCCCTATGAAATTAATTTTTATAGAGCTCAAGTAACCATAAGCTCAGTTGAATGTTATGATCCATTAACTGATACATGGAAAGCATGTCCTGAACTTCCAATGAGCCGTTCTGAAGCTGCTGCAGTTGTAGTATAAAATAATTTTAATATAGATGTCGGAATGGTTTTTTTTTTTTTTTTTTGTTCAGAATTGGTTATCACATTTACTATTTTATTTTTTAATAAATAATTTAACATTTGAAGAAAAAAAAAATAGTAATATAAATGTTTTCTATCAGAAATGTTGGTTATTTTTTTATACCAAAAATAATATATGTATTAAATAAATTAATAAATAAAAAAAATTTAATTAAAATTTGTTAAATAATTGGATCGCTATTAGCCAACTAAAAAAAATTGTATAAAATGCTAAAATTATAATTGGTGTTTTTTGTCCACTATATGCTATAATATAAAAATTACATGTTAATATAAAAAATATATTTGTATTTAATTTTCGGTATATTTATAATATATATATATAAAATAATAATTCCACATAGTTATAAATAATATATTTGTGTAGATTGTAGGTCTATCATTCATAAATAACAAAACGATAATAAAAATAAAAATACAATTTATAATAATCTATTTATTGTAAGAAAATATATAAAATAACAAAAAAAATAAAATGTTAAATAAAATTTTTGATATTGCAATATTTTATATTGTTACAATTTTATATTTAAGAATATTAAAAACAAAATATTTATTTTAGAGTCCAACAAAAGAAAAAATATCAATAATACCAAAAATTTTTATATAAAATAATAAAATTTAATAATATTTTTAAAACTCAATTTTCTTTTAAGTGCAGCTATTTAAATTTATACATGTACCTATTTTACTGTGAAAAACATTTCCTTTTTTTTTTAATTTATATTCATAATTTATTATTTAAATAATTTGTTTTTTTTTAAATTTAAAAAATTCAAATTAAGAAATACTAAAAAAAAAAAAATAGAATCATTTTGAAATTGTAAGAATATTCAATAAAAATGCATGGATGATTAGCGAACAAAACAGGGTGAATTTTTGATAATTTAGAAACAAAAAAAAAATTAAAAATGCTTTTAAAACTTTAAGCATCCCCTACGATTTTTAATTGTGCTTCCTTTATAGTTTTGATTTATCAAACATGCTTTATATTAAGATTTAAGTTAGAACTGAATTTTCAAAAATCCCCTAGCTTATAACCATTTTTAATTAATTCAAAAATTTACATAATTTGTTTGGAAAACACGATTGAAAATCATAGACCCTTTTCTATTAGGGTGTTAATATTATATACATATATATTAATATTTTTTTTTTTGTATTGAAATTTGTTCTAGTGGATTGTACTTGGACAAATCACAAAAAATTGGAATCACGAAAATTTAAAATTGTTGTATGTAGATTTAGCACCCATATACAATAAAATCAATTATCAAAAAAATGATAAGATGTACATATAATTGTAGATATATAAATGCATTTCTTGCTAAATATGAAAGTAATAGAGGACTATATCCTGAAATTTTAATTAACATATGTTCATACAAACGTATAGTACATATTATTTATGTATATCCAAATTGATAATTTCTTTTTTCTAATGTGCAAAATGTAAAAGAAATCATGAATATTAATGATTAAATTCATGATTAAAAAAAAAAAAATCAATAAAACGATTGTAATATTAAATTTATATAAAAATGTATTTTGTATGTAAAGAAAATACTAAAAATAAAATATATATAAAATTACAAAAAGCTTGTATACTATAAAATATTTGAAAATATATAAATAAAAAAAAAATTTTAGATGGCAAAATTTATAAAAATTTTTAAAATTTATTTTATTTACAGGTTATAAATTTACATATTTTTCAATAATTTGAATTTGGTTCAATGATAATAATTAATTTTAATTATTAATGTACTTACAAATTAATTTTACTTTGAAAATTTGAATAGATTTTTTTCAATTGATTCAAATTTTTCTCTTCACCATTTTGTATTTCTGCTTGCAAATTCTGTAATTTAATTATAATATATTAATTAGAATTATAATTTAATTAATTATATTAATTTTTTTAAATTATTTACCATTAATAATTTCATTTCTTCTTTTATATTTATTTTTAATATTTCATAATAATCGGATGATAATTTTTCTGCAATTAATATTTTACAATAGTATAAAACAATTGGATTTTCTGTTATAATTTTTATAAAATTTTCTTTATCATTATATTCAATTATTATTTCAATACCAAATAAATATATTTTAAATATTGTATTTGTTATTAAATTAATTTCATCACTTTTATTACGATTTATATTTATATTAAACCATTCATATATTTCAGATAATGTTAATAAATTTGGTGTTTTTTTAATAAATTCAAATTTTTTATTTTCCTCTATTATATTATGTATTTTATTTTGATTAATTAATTCTTTAATATTATCTTCAAATGTTTTATTAATACGAAATTCAATAATATTAATTGAATTTTGAAATAATTTTATAATATTATGATTTTTTACATTAATTGGTATTGATATATAATTTAAATCATTATCACATTCAATAATTGTATTTAATTCTAATTGAATTTTTGGTAATAATAATAAATTTGTTTTTTTTAAATGTAAAATAATTATTATATCATCATTTATAAAATTTTTTGTTAATTTAATATTTTTCATATGATATTTCATTAAATCAATATCAAAATTAATTAATATATTCCAAATATCATTTGATATAAAAATGCTATTTGGTTTTATACGTATTTTTAATATGGCAAAAAATGAATTAATATCATAATCAATTTTTTCTATTGGATATATTATATTTCCTTTTAAATTTGATGGTAAAAATGTATAAAATTCTATTGTTGAATCAATTAATTTAGAATATATATCTTTTCGATTTGCTATAGATATTATTGTTTGTTTTTTTATCTCTTCTTCAATTAATTTATTTAAATGTTCTGGTTCTTCTAGTAATGATGTTATTAATTGTTTATTTTTTTCAATATTTTTGAATTTCTCTGGTGTTAATTCAATTAAATCATTTGAATTTGGTATTGATAATCTTTTAGATTTTGTTGAAAATTTTGCTCTATAAAATATATTATTTTCACTTAAGCAAATTAGTTTATTAATTGAATTTACCTAAAATTATAAAAATAGTTACATAAAATGAGAGTATATGATTAATAATGTTAAAATTTTGTATAAATATATTTTTACCCAAGTAAATGCAATAATTCCTGGTATAAATTGATCTTCTTCTACAATATCTAATATTTCTGTTTCTTCATCATAACAAAAATCAACTTTAAAAATTCGAGTTCCATCAGAATAAAAATATGAATTTTGTGAATATGTTGATGCTATTACCTCACATCCTAAAAGAAATGCAAGTAATTTTTGCAATAAATTATTTCACAAAAAAATCGAGAATATGAAAAACAATTAATTAAATAATATTTACCACAAAAATATTGTCTTCTATCTAAAAGTTTAAATAGTTTTGAAACAAATAAAACTTCTATTGTTCCACAAAATAAAAATATTAATAAAATATTCTGAAAAATAAAAAAAATAAATATTAGAATATTAATTACTATCTAGATATGTGTCTTACGTTTCGTTCTATATATACAATATTAGAAATATCAGATGCAACAGTTAATATAAGTGATATTTTAAAATCTTCATCATCTTCTGGATTATTTAATAGGCAAAAAAGATTTCCATTAATACTAAATATATAAATACAATCTGATTCAATTAAATTCTTTGAGATTAATTCAAAAAATTCTTTATTATTTTCATTTATTTCAATACATTTTGTTACATAATTTTCATCCTCCCAATTACTATTAAACAAATTGTCATCATCATCATCAAATGTTATATCAAATCTTCTAAAATATTTTAATTTTTCTGGATTTTTAAAATCTTTATAATGCTCTAAGAATATAGAATATGAATTATTTTCTTCATTTTTTTCTATTCTTATTAAAACAAAACCATCGTTAGAACTGGACAAATATTTAACATTTTTAATAAAATTAATATTATTCATACTTTTAAATGATGTAAAATATTTAATTTCTCCATTTTGTAATAATGTTAATGTATTATATTGTGTTAATGCAATTGATTTAATTTCATCAGAAATTGGTATATGAAATTGATCAGTTAAAATATCTCCTTCATCAACTTTATTAAATATTTGTGTAATTAAAGAATCATAAGACCATGTTACAAAAATTGTTTTATCTTCAGATGATGTACTAAATAAACCCAAAGGATAAAATAGTGAATCATCAATTTTCCATTGATTCATGATCAAAGTTTATTTTTAAAATTTAAAATAATTTCTAAAAATTTTTATTTACAAAACAAAATTTCAAAAATCCCACTAAAAATTTGTTTTTGTGAATGACAAATGTCACTTGACAAACAATATAATTACAGACTTGCCAGAAATTAATAGTTTTCAAAATTTGATTGTCATAATAGTATGCAGTAGATTTTACGAGCAATATTTTAGTTTGAAGTTTTTAAGTTAAATTAATTAATTGAAACCAAAAATTTTAATTGAATTAATTATGAGAAATAATTTGTTAACTGTAATTCCTTATAAATAAAAAAAAAATTATAATTTAAGGTAAAATTTATTAAAACTATTTAGTTTTTGTTGCGAATGTCATACAGCCGAGCAATAATATTTGCGTTCCATATATGTGTTCAAACTACTCATTAGTAGTCAAAACATACTGGCGTTTTCTATTTCAAACAAATGTGTAAATGATCTTTGCAGTTTCTTTAGTTTTTTCAGACAAATTTAAATAGTATTTCTAATCGAGAATTTGTACATTCGGAATTTAGAAAATTGTTGCTTCTAATAAATTATAAAATAATGTTAAAAATAGAAAAACCTAAACTTTGAAATTACATTTTCTTAATGTAAATAAAATGTGTAAATTTTGAGTTATGTCAGTATTGTCACGAATGAGAGATACTATATTATATATAAAATGCTTCAGGCTTAGTCTGAACGTTGAATAAAAATTTGACATTTACATTTATGTCAAATTAATGTTAATATTATTTTAAGTTTTTGTGGAGTGGAATAGAGTAGAGTGTATGTCGTGTGGTTTTTGCCACTTGCCAGGATTTCACTTTCACATTGTATTATTTTAAAATAAAAGTAATTTTTATAAAAATAAAAATATTGGCTGTCATTTTACAAATTTTTAAATAAATATTTTGATTTTATCGAATAAATTGAAAAGTAAAATTTGCGCAAATTTCATACACTCATAATCATTGGAAAATGCGAGTCGGTAAAAAGAAATGCGTCATTAAAAAAAAAGTAAGTTACAAAATGCTTTTAAAGCAAAAAATTAATGAACTACCTATATAAAAAAAAAAATTCCTAAATTATTCAATTAAATTCAATTTTAGATGATGCAATATGATGAATTTATGGAAAGAATAAAAAAATCCTTTTATTATGGTGATGAAAGTGTAGAAGAAAATATAGAATTAACTAGTCCACTCGCTGAATATGCATCAGAATTATTTTCTGAACCACAAAAAGGCAACTCATTACAAAGATTAACAAAATTTTCTGCTGGAAATGTACGTGTACCGAATCCATGCTCTTTAATAATGGCTCTCATATATTTAGATAGGTTGGTTAATTTAACTACATGCTTTCATGCAAATATTCAAATTTTATTAATTTCTATTTTGTATTTAAGGTTAAATGAAGTTAATCCTGGATATGTAAGGAATGGAATAACACCATCTGATTTGTTCTTGGTTTCTGTGGTATGTTAAAAATTTACTATTGGTTTTGTAAGAAAATTTAATTTCTTATGTGCAACTACATATGTACATATTATACAAAAAGAAAATGATTAACCTCAATGGAATTTTTTTTATTTTCTATTCTATGAAAAATGTTGTCGTATTTGTGACAAAACTGTCGTAAGAAATAGAATATATATAACTAGTTCTTGACCTTCGAAAAGCTTTTAAACAGATTAGAAAATAAAATATAAACAAAAAAAAATCAAAACAACATTAATTATTTTTCTATAATATGAATTAAAATTTTCTAATATATTTTTTGTTTTTCTTTTTTAGGTTGTATCTTCTAAATTTTGTTATGATGATGATGAGGACAGTACATTTTATTTAGATGATTTTCTACAAGATTGTGATACATCTTTGGAACATTATAAAAAACTTGAAATGGAATTTTTATGTGCTATAGATTGGAACATATACATATCAAATGAAAATTTTCAAAAAAAATTGGAAACTATTGAAAAATTTTTAGCAAAACGTGAAGGTATACGTCGCGGTTGGTTAACATACACAGAATTATTACATTTTTTACCATCATTTACATTGGCAAAATTTTTATTAAATAATATTACTGTTATGGCAGTTAGTTATGTTGCAAGTGTTATGACAATGGCTGGTGCTTTCTTTTTAGTTAGCAATATACCGGGTAATGGTTTATTACAAATTAATCGCAATCAAATACGTAATAAATTAAGCTGTGAAAATGATATTGTATCACAATCAACACAAAAATCTAATGATATTATTAATAGTACAACTGGATCAAATGAACAACATAATATTAATGACAATAATATTGGAAAACAAAATACAAATAATAATATGGCTGTTGTTAATCATTCATCTGATATTATGATTGGTAATATTAATATTATAAATAATAATGGATTAAATATTGAAAATGAATTAAAAAAATTAGAAGATGAATATAAATATGAGAAAATGTTAGAATTGAGAAAACAGAATAATGAATATGATGGTCCTTTAATTAATTTTTATGAAAATTATATAATACAAGATAAATTATATTCATTGGTATATGGTATGAATACAATAAAAGGAACAACATTTAATGATGTACTTATAAATTATCAAGATTATCAAGATAATAATAATAATAAAAATAATAATAGTAATGAAGATGATATTAATGGAAATGCTAATTTAATAATGATATTTGAAAGATTAAATGATATACGAAATTATACAAAATCAATATTTTGGGATTTAATATATAATGCTGAGAAATCTTTTAAGACACCATTAATTTGGTTTAAATTTATATAGCATAAAAATGAACGTTTTATACGTTTATTATTATATATGATATTTTTATGCGATTATTATATATTTTTTTTTATTCTATTCACTTATAACGAGAAATAATTTTTTTTAATTTACATTCAAATAATAATATTAAAATTCTTATAAATTTTTAATCATAAACATAATTCATTTTTCATATTAAAAATAATAATTAGTAATAACATTCAAAAATACTAATAACATTCATAATATTTTAAAAATTTTATTTAGATTTCATATTTTCTTTTTGTTTTCAAATAACAAAAATTAATATTATTATTAAAGCCAAATAATTAAAACAAAAAAAAGTTACAAATATTTTAAATTTATAAAAAATTCTCTATTTAGATAGTCTAAAATATTAATTAACATGATGGAATTACAAAGTGTTTATGTATTAAATGAAAATTCCACAATTTGAAAATGATATTTTTGTTTTTTTGGTATAGAAATTAAAATATTTTTTTTTGTGATTTTTGGTATAGTACAAAGAAAAAATTGAAACATTTTATATAATGTACCGAAAAATCTGGATTAAAAAAATATTTTATAGTTAACAAAATAAGAATTTTAGACAAAAAAAAGAAAAAGAAAACAAGTATTTGTCAACAAGTATATTTATAATAAAATTTAAAGAAAAAACAAAAATAAGACATAAATATGAAAATTTTTAGCTTTAGAAAAATATTATATGCAACTGAAAACAGTAATAAAATTGTATTTTATTATAATAATAGAATGTTTTTGTAATTTAGTATTATTTTTATTGAGGTAGTAATACTATAGTAGTTCCTACGAACGAAAAAGTAGACCAATTTTCAACAAAACTTCGTTTCAGACCACTTAACTAGACCAATTAAGAGTTCAGTTAAAACAATTAATTTTAATAGCTAATTCCATTAATTTTATAACAATTGATTTTAGTTAATCTCTAATTGTGAATTTAGAAGTGCAACTAATGTTGTTCCTACTTCAATGCTTTAATTATTAATTAGATTTTCAAATCTAATCTAAATTTACTTCAAAATATCAAATACGGGCTGCAAAATTTTAGTAAGTACTACGTTAGAACTAAATTATCTAAAAACAATTAAAATGAAAATGATTTAAATAAATTATAAACTTTTTAATTATTTTATTAAATAACTTTATAATCGGTTTTTAAGCAAATTATACAAATTTTAAACTTACAAATTTTAACTTTACAAATAACTATAATTCATTTACGCAAGAAAACAGATTACTGATGCAACAGTACATACAACATACAACCGTAATGGGATGAAGAATGAAATATTTTCAAAAAAATTTTCAAATAAAATTCAAGATAATAAAATTAAGACAATGAAATAGAGAAAACTCAATTAAAATTGGAAATTTTTTAACGGGTTTAATGGCATCAACTTATTGTATAATTAAAATAAAAATTAATTCTAACTCTATATTTTAACTATAGTCTAATGTGGTGGTTATGGTTAACAATATTCGTTCCACAGTCTTATAATAAGTTAAAAATATAATAAAAAAATATAAAAATTTAAAATAGAAAAGGAAGTGAGATTTCTTATATCCGGTTTTTCAAAGAGACATCTTGAATTTTGCGTTTATCATTTATAATGTGGCGAATATTAAACAATTTTAAGATATAAATCAATTGGATATTTGAATTAAAGGTAATTTTTCAAATTTCTATATGTGCGCTGTTGATTATATGATTATGATTAAAATTTTATTTTATCACAACGCAGCGTGTGTTGCACTTAGAACGGAGTCACGATAGATAGGAAACACACTCAGTCACAGTGCATTGTTATATCGGTTTCCGGTTGTACAAGTCTACAATGCAGCATTTATTTGGAATCCAACACAAAAATGATAAAAGTGGATAAATAATTATTAAATCAATCAATATTTAATTGTGGTCGGAGTATTAAAAAAGCAGTATGCTTATATTTTCAAATTCACTTTGTGTTAAGAATTAGTAGAATTATTTTGGAATTTTCTCTGTAAATCGCATTATCCTATAAAGTTGGTTAATCAAATTTTACAATTCATTTCTTCTTTTTTATAAACACTTTGTTCTTTTGTCTTTTATGCGCTTTTCTTTTAAATTTGTTGTCTATGCAGTAGAATATTACTGTCTCAAATTGTTCTTTTACTGAATGGATAATTGAAGGAAGAACTTAAGAAGCAACAAGATAACAGAAATGGTAAACAGAATTAAACAAAAAGAATCATTTAAAACGATTTATGTTTAAAATTAAGTCCTTTTTTTCGAACTTCTTAAATTCGAAGATATTCTCTTTCTTTTAGCTATTGTGAAAATTTTTGTAAATCGCAAAAGGATATAATGCAAGAACATTATAGTATGTACCGTTAAGATGATATTCTTGTTGATGATACCAGAAATCTACTACTCATTCTTTTTCGCTCAGTTTAAGAAAAGTTTAAGAAAATAATGCCATTTTACTATTACTGTTGTATTTTTTGAATTAAAATAAAATGAAATTTGCAAAAAAAAAGACGATATTTAAAAAAAAAATAACAAATTTACTGTCTTTAATTAGATTCACTAATTGCTTAAATTGTTCTTTCGCTTGTTTTTCTTCATTTTTTTTTTCTCAATTTGAATATTGGGGTTTGTGTTGTTTTGACTCCCCGTTTTCCTTTAGATTTTGCAATTTTCATACCAAATATTCATGGAAAGGTGAGAAAGGAGAAAAGTGTTTGATTAACTTTAGGATTTTTTTTTGGATTTATGTGGTTCTACGGTTTTTTTGAGGGTGGAGAGAATTATCTTGAGCTGTTTTGTTTGTGAATCTAAGAATATAAATAAGTAAATTTTAGGCAATACCATTCCATTGTAAGACTGCAGCAATAAAATTTTTCAGAAAAAGAAAATTGGAATTTTCTGCGAAATTTCTGTCTGAGTCTTGAAATTGATAGAAAAAGCACTGAGTAAAAGTGGTGTAAATACTGAGTACATAATATTTTCGCTAAGCACAGGGAAAGCACTATGTACGTATTATACAGAAGATAAAATATCAAGTTAATGTAAGGATGCGAAAACAAACATATTACTCAAATATAGGAAAATAGTGCAAATATTTGGATATTAGAAATCTTGATTTATACTTAAGATCTTGGCTACACATACATAAAAATCAAGCAATGTGAAAAGTCTAAGAGGAAAGAGGGATTTGTAAATATTTACATATGTGAATAAACAACAGACTCACAAATTTCCCCTATTGTTTTGCCAGTTCCTGGATCGATTATAGCATTTCAAGAAATGCATTTTAGAAAGTTAAAAGGCTTGGAATTTAAAGAGAGTATAGCTTGTAACATGAAAAGTGTAATAATTTTTAATTTGTATAACAAAATATTAAAATTTATTGCATAATTATAGGATGAGCAAAAGGGAAAAAATTTAAAGAAGTGTCAACATAATATTGTCTAATTCGATGTTTATGTAAGTGAGTAAAGATTAAATATGTTCTCTTTGATGACAATGGCATTTACCGTTATCTTTTAGATTTTACAGAAATTTGAAAAAGCTTTTCGGAAATATAAGATGCCGAAATTTCAAATTTTACAAATTTCCTGAGCTGATAAATAAATAATAAAAAAACTACATCATAAAAATTGCATACATTTGGGCAAATTTTAAAATTTATAAATTATTTTAATGATTTTAAGAACCCAATTTGAATTTTTTAATTAAAAAGTTTTTTAAAAATTATAATTTAAATAATTGTTATACAAAAAATACTTCATTTCATTGTATAGAATGAAAAACAAAAACAATTAATAATAATTATATAATTTTTACCGTTATAGAATTTTTATTATTATTTTTTTCGTATGAAATTCACAATAGTTTTTAAAAATTTTATATTATTTAAGATAAAATTAAAAATTTCATTATTATTCTTTTGCAATTATTATTATTGAAATGGTTTTCAATTAGCTTAAAAATTTTTACCAAAGTGTATAAGAGAATAATTAAAATTGTAATAGGAGAGGAAATTATAACAATTAAAAAATAAAACTTAAAGTAAATTAAAATAAAATTTTTGGAAAAATTGCAATTTTAGCTCTTAAAAATTATTAAATAGAAAATAAGAGAAAAAAAATAATGAAAATTAAAAATTTTTTTGTAAATTTTGTGCATACTTACTTAAGTAGGTACCATTCTTTAAACCTTAACTATGAAGGTGAAATGGATGGTACATAATTGCCAGTTCGTTTATAATGTAATTTTGTAAATTTTTGCGATTTAAGCATTAAATTTAGTGAATAATTTTATTGTTAAAAAATTTCATTGGTCTTGTAGTCATAGTTTGAATTTCTATTAATGCCAGCCTGTCTGTTGGATTTACTCTTTAATTAAATACAAAATCTTATTAAATGATATGACTTTCGTCATTATTGTATATTAAGAGGTCTTCATTCGTATTAATGCGAATTAATGTACGTATATAAGAATATTCGAGGTCATTGCTATATATTTAATGCCACTTCTGTATGTTCGTTAGAATTTTTGTATATTCGAGGGCATTTTTTCATTTGTTAGAGGCATATCTAATTGGAGACATTTACGTTTATTTGAAAACAGAACAAGAGCGATTTACCGTTTCGAAATGTCAAAATTCGTATAGTCGGCGCTAATATAGCCTAAATTCGTATTTCACTACGGGAGATTTTCTTTTTTTGACATAAACTGTTTCCATCTATGTGTTTATGTTTTGACATAAACTGTTTGCATCTATATGTAAAATATTAAAAAAAATTGTTGGTTTTGCCCTTTCGCTATTGTTCTGTGTTAACAACAGAAATCGTCCACCGTTGCCGCTCATCGCTTTTGTTCTATTTCTATAATAATTATAAAGGCATATTTGAAGGCCATTCTGTGTATTCAAGAGTGTATTTTTGAGGCCAATTTTGTGTATCATTTTATTTAGTTTTACCTCCTTAACTTAACTCAACATAAGCGTTTTAACTCATTCGATCTCATAACATAAAATAACGGTACTTTTTTTGGATAGATTTAATTGCTGCCGAATATTTTCTCTTTCATATATTGAGATATCCGATAGTTGTTTGTATTACGAAATAGCTTGTAGAACAATGCATTTTCTTCGTTAATTTTTACCGTT